GTTTAAATCTCCTTTTGAAATAAAAAGTACTTTTCTCTTTCAAGGCAAAGAGTTGGCCATGCGATTAATCCACCGTGAGAGATATCGAGCAATCGTATAGAGGAGGAGGAGGAGGAGGAGGAGCGGAAGAACTTAAAAACGGAGCGAAAAGCTGGCGGAAATAGGACTCCGTTTAAGAAAGCAAAGCGGACCGCAAGAAGAGCTCGAGCGTTAATCTGTTCTCCCCCTTTTCGGAGGAACCCTAATCGTCCTAATGATCCGCGGCAAGAAAAACACGGCCATGCCTAAGCCAACCAAAGCTTCCGTTTCTGGCCTGGGGAACCAAACCACCTCTTCTTCTCACACCAAAAACCTACCAACCTAACCCGATCACCCTTCAACCCTAACGGATTACCTCCTTTCGACGTTTACGCTTATATCTTGAGAGTGTTGTCTTATGTGTTCTAACGCGTCGATTAAGTGTAAAAGATCGTGACGCGGGATTCAAGAGGAGTTAACTGTGTCCGATCTTTTGGAAAGGCGAGTCGAAATCATCGTTTCGCGAATGCGTTTCGATCATTTCTTTCTTAAATTATTATAAGAATTGAAAGAATTAGGAAGAACTTAAAGAATTAGGAAAAAAAATTGAAAATAATTAAGTAAAATTTAATTTTTGTTTTTGTTTAATATTTAAATTTTGTGGAATTTTATTATTTTGTTAAAAGTAAATAAATAAATAAATTGAATAAGAAATAAGATTCGATATAATGGTATTATCATGGAACAGTTATAGGAAAACAGAAATATAAGAAAATTATAATCCAACAGAGAATATTTGTAGAAATCACAAGTTCGTTCGTTGATAAGTAAACAAGCAAGCCAATTAATTTCCATAAAAACAAATAATTCGATACAAGAATCACAATTTAGAAAAACATCAAAATTTGTACATTCGATACAAACCGAAGATAACCGCTCTCTCATCCAGAAAATTCCTAACCTCCACAATTCAATCACTAATCCCAATCATCGGTTCCACCGAAATCGAAATCCATTCCAAGGTCACCAACCAACAATAACTCACATTTAAACCAACTCAAAGATCAAATCCAAAAAAAAAATCCTTCAAAATCAACCAACGAACCATCAAACCACCGAAACAAAAATTTAAAAAAATCTTAACGCGCACCGAGAATTGGTGAAAACGTCGACAGGCGAAAAAGTTCAAAAAACCCGGCCGGAGTCGAGTCGTCGAAATTTCCAAAACGTCGAAATCGAATAAAAAGAAGAAGAAGAAAAAAAAGAAAAAGAAAAAAATCAATCGACAACGAACCAATCAAACGGAAAAAAAAAGAAGAAAAAGTATATCAAATATCCCGTTATTAATAATATTTTTACAAAAAAAAAAAAAAGAAAAAAAAAGAAAAACGAAAAAGAAAAAGAAGAGACACGTGTGTCACTGCGTTTGCAATCAGGGTCTGTTGAAACCACCGCTACGTATCACCGGCGAGAAAATCAAGAGAGAGGCACACGCTTTATCGAACTGACCTGTGCCCATCCTTCGCGACTGATCAAAGTCGAGCATCCCCAGACGGACGACTGGACCAGTGGTCGTTTCCGACACGACGCCGAGGGAGTCGCGC